TCATTATTATTTAAGCAAAATTTTCCACTAAGGCCATACATCCGCCTTTAAGGCAATATTTTTCTATAAGGCAAATCAGCATACTCACATTATCCATTACAAGTCAATATGCCAAATAGTCATACATTAGCAATGTATAGACATACTCTAGTCATTACCACTTTACTCAACATTTCAACCATTTGATTCTTGTCTACCATTTATTTAACTATATTAAGGGCACACAAACCTTTCCTCTTCTCCCAAATCTTAATCATTTGAGAGATTCATATTTCACTATGCAATAAAACTTCAATTTTGTATAGATAAACATTTACACACACCACATTACTTAGTACACACAAATCATCCTATCCAACTTGACATACACATCTCTAATGGTCCACTGCAATAGCTTGACTTGAAAAGTCTACAGAACCAATCTAATTCTATGCAATAATATCCATATCCAACCATCATAATAAAAACTTGATAAAAACATCTAACATAGCACAACATTACCACTACTAGGGCACCATACCCTTTAAACATCTTTATAACAGGTGTACATTATGACTTTTAACATAAAGTAGAATCAAACACCAACACCTCTACGTCTAGTTAGACTGCTCAGTGGAACAATTCGTTAATCTGTACACCTAACAACAAACAACTGTGGGGGGTGAGCAAATCATACACTTAGTGAGTATATCCGAAACATATAGAAAGAAAACACATAAGTACGTTACAATTATAATTGTAACACTCTTATACATTAAAAGTGTAATTTAACATCAAATAACCAACTTCCAATAACCAACATTTAACACCCAACACCCACTATCCAAAATCAAATATTTGACTATCCAATAACACTTGGAAGTCTTGAAAAAAATTAACGACAACCTATTTTTGCCCAAAATTATTGGCAATCTCATTGCTACTTGTATATGCCCGGGAGTGCCGTCAATCATATCGCTACTTGTATATGTTTGAAAGTCTCGACTACTATATTGCTACCGTTTATGCCCTGTAATGTCGGCAAACACATATTGGTAAGTACCCACAATCAATTCAAGAAATTGAAACCACACCCGCCACTTATCCATAATCCTTAAGCCATTAAGTCACAATCTAGCCATATAAAAATAAATATAGCTAGTAACAAACAATCACCATTTCTCAATTCATAATCTATTAAATTACTTTTCATAATTAAACTTAAACTCATAACCAATCACCAATTCACAATTCATACCCCCATTATGTTACTACTAACAAGTTATAATTCACTACAACACATTCCAGCTAGTACACATAGTATAGTATAAGCAATCAGTCACATTTTCCAATCAATATGTTTCATTATACTTGTTTTGATCAATGATGATATGTTGAATGATTATTTGAATCTGAATTTTTAGCATAATAAGTGTGTTAATTGAGACTCTTGAGATATGATTTTAGGCCACGTTTGATATAATTTGAGTTTTAGACTTATTTCTTGAAATTTTATGATCCTTTGAAGCCAGGTTTGAGCCTATTGATTAAATTTTTCTTTGTTCACTCATACATAATAACCAAGCTCAGATTGTAAAATATCTTATCTTTGACCCTTGGTTATCCTAAGAATAAGTAAATACATTATATATGAAAGGAAGATATGTGATTAAAATTCAAAGAAAGAAAAATAGAAAAGGTAGAATTGGTGCACTTGTGATTGAAAGTGTTTGACTTGCTACAAAAGAAAAAAATATATGTGCCTTCTGAAAAGATGAACATGGAAAAAAAAAAAAGCAAGAAAAGCAAGAAAAAAGAAATATGGCAAGGGATGAGAATTTTGCTTCCAAGGAAGATATGAGTTATGTCAAGAGATATGGATAAGCGAATCATTCTTGGGGTAATTCTTTGAATTCCTATTCCTTCATTTCTGTACCCTTTTACCGAAGGCCCCATTACAACCTAGAAAAATTTTTTATTTGATCTCAAGAGTTGATAGTAATACATGACTTGTGTGGGAAATGAGGATGTTGATAGTTGTTTGATATGTTTTAGGTTGATTTCTGATCATTAAACTATGCTAAATCCCTTTCTTTTTAAGATAGCATTCATTTCCATAGTCGTATTTGAGATATCTTTTGTCTATGTTACAATAATTTTACTCACATATGTAAAAATGAGGAGAATTTGTTCGTATAATTGGAGTTAACTTCTTGTTGAGAGAACAACGTGGAATTGATTTAAAGCTAGTAGTGGAAAGTAGAGAGGTGAAATATTTTTTGGATTAATTTTATGATCTTTCAATGTCATTTAAATATCACACACAAGTTTCAATTGAGAATTTAATTTGTAAATATTGTTGTGCAGTTTGTGATTCTCTGATTTGACTAGGGTATGCATTTATTCATAACTTTATTTGTGCTAGTTGTTTGATTGTTGGTTGAGTTATATGACACATTCATAATGATAAGCATATTAATGGAAGTTTGTAGGTATCTTCACTAGAAACCTTTACAAGACTATACTTCAGCACTAGGGAGAACCTAGGGGATTAAAGGCTTATAGGATATGCTAAATACCATCGTGAGTCCAATAAAAGTAGACTAGTTTTATTAGATTATTTTGATTAGTTTCGTTTATAGATTGATCCTACGAGGGACTAGTAAGATGTAGGTTGGGGGTGTGATTGGTCATGTAATTTACCAGTTTTTTACCTGTTAGTTAAAACAAATTGCATTTATTCTGAGCTAATTATTGTTTATACTATTGATTTTATGCTTTGATGGTATTTTTATGTTTGATTAATTTATCAGGTAAAACAGGTAGGTTGAGCCAATTTCTAGCACTTGATAAATTGAAGACTGCATAGAAATCAAAGTGATCAAACTGATATTTCAGAAAGTCAAGCAAGTTGACTGAAGTAGACACCAACTGCACACATAGGTGTGTTCGGACGCACTCACCCCGTCAGATTCGAGTAAGGAAGTTCCGACCCCCAAGAAAAGGATCTACAAAATAACCTAAGGATGAAGGCGAAATGAAGTGTCCATCAGAAGGAAGACACATGAAGGAGGTTGGTAAGGCTAATTGTGGATGTGAAGGGGAAAATATATAGCAATGGTCACGAAAAAGACCGAATAAGGAAATAGTTTGCAAATTAACAAGTTTATTGTTTAGTTTTATCCCTTCTGAGTTAGGAGGTTTGGAAAGAACTACAGGCATATTGAAAGAGGAAGAGGGTCTGATGTGCTTCGAAAAAACATAAGTCCTTTAGTATTATAGGCCATGAAGGAATTGAATACTTTAATGGCCTTGCCTCGGAAATAGTCAACATTTATAACTAGTTTAATGAAGGAAATGAAATGCCACTCTAAACGACAATCAAAGTGCCAAAATGCACACACGTGGATCAAATGACAGAAAACGTAATATAAGTGACAATTAATGTTATTCAATTCGCAATCTTGCCACCTGTCACCAAAGAAATAAAAAGACATTTATAAGTGAAGATAATAAGGGGCAAAAGAGTCCATTTATATTTTTCATTTATTATCTTTCTATGAACTATACAAGATCAGAAAAATGAACTTCTAGTTGGTATAGTAACACATTCATAGTCTATAATTTGGCCGAAGCAAACTCGACAAAGGTTGAGCCTGCATCTACAAAGGTTGTGGCATTCACGACAACGGTCTTAAGTTCCTTCAAACGCCCTTGATAGGATTCAAATTCATCTAGGAGCGATGCACATTCAGCCTCAAGCTCAACAAGATCTAGGTCAACCAAGGTATGAGTCAGCTCAACAATTATAAAAGAAGCTCGACAGTTATTGAAACAACTTAACTTACACTAAAAAAGAGGACATAAGAGGAATTATACTACCAAACCCGACTTTAGGCAAGAAATCACCATCTTCAGAATGCCACGTCATAGCTTTTAGAATAACATGTCATACATAGGGAGTAGAACCTCTAACGACCAAATATTCTTTATAATATCCTAACAAACTAGGGAACAGTATCATCATTGCTTGAGAACCACAGTACCCTATTGTATAACTGGGCAAACCCTTATCTTGCCAAGAGGTGTGCAATGTAATCTCAAAAGTGTAACCGTCTTCTTTTCCAAGTAAGAGACTTAATTACAATGGACTATCCTACCTCTTTAGTTCGGTGAACCACTTATCCCTTTTATGTTCTTACTTTCTATTATTCCACATACACAAACAAAAAGCTCATTCATAACTATCAGAGCTCACTCAGTTACCACTACCATACTTCTTGATTTCATACACCATCATATATAATTAGACATTTATGTAATGCAGGAGTTAAATAAATTTTAAACACTAAAGCAATAACATAATATATACTTGACACACATTCCATTGTCAACTTATTTCAAAGTGTGCGATAACTCTAACACAATATTAATCTTACACAACACTTTTTCAAATCCTCCCTAATATTTTTATTATTTTTTTGACAAATCATCTATTTTTAATGATTGATAGATTCACGTAAAATATTGTAAGTCTTACTTAAATACACAAAGTGTTATATACTAAGAAATTTAAAATATATATATCAAAGACAATCTAATTTCACTCTGAATGGCGGCAATGGCTTTCTAATAAATTAAAATTTAATTTAATTTATTTTATTTTATGTTTTATAGAATTTAAAAAATAAAGAAAAGAAGTGAAATCCGGCACGAGTGGCAAGAGTCAAGGAACATTGACCTCATTAAACCCGAAATGGGCCCTACTGTTTCGGTGGCCTCCGCATTAAATCTCCGGACCCCCCATCGGTCAAATTGGAACCATCAGTTTCTGTAATCATCCTAATCAACGGCTACGATCAATCAGTTTCACGGTGGGCCCACGACCACATGTAATCACTGTAAATGAACCACATCACAACATTTCATACGGCACCATATAAGCCCAGGAACCCCTAACGATTTGCCAGAACCGTCTCGAGAGTTGGAGACAGATACACATTTATAGAGAGAGACAAGACTTTTAGAGAGAGAAAATTGTGGAGAGATGTCCGAGTCAGGGTGGAGGTGGTCGTCCTCGTCAGCTTTCCGGTGGATCGACGTCAGCTTCTCACTACCAACGTCGTTGTTCCGGTGGCCGAGATTCTTTGCCTCGTACATCACGCCCAACTGGTCCCCACGGGCCTCCACATGGTCGAACCTCAGTCTATCTGGATTCACCCCAAGGTGGGACCCACGGAACCTGAGGGAATGGTTGCCGGACCTGGATTTCTCGATCGTCGACAACGTGTTGTGGTCCCTCGTCACTGCGTTCGAGTCCGTCGCTCTGGTCTCCTTCCTCTGCTTCTTTTTCGTTTTCTGTGGCTGTACTCTCTGATCTCTCTCTATATAGATTATTTAGTCTAGAACTTTCTGGAATTTAGAATCTCCCTGATTTTGACATCGCAGTCCGACGGGGAAAATTCCGGGTGATTTGTCGGAGTTGAGTTAAGTGGTTGAAATTAAAATGATGACGATGGGGTAGATGAGCATGTGACCAGCGTTGAAGAGACGAAGATGGGGGTAGATGAGCACGTGACTGCCGTTTGGTTTTTTGTTTTGCTTTTCCTTTCAATAGGGCGAACCAATGCTCCTTTGAGACTGCTTAAGGGTCAGTTTTGTCAATGTTGTGCAAAAGACTAAAAAAACATTTCCCTCCCTTTTCCCCCAAATTAGCTTTTTGTTTTCTTTTATATGTTTTTTGTTATTTGGCTTGTGACGAGTGATCTTTAAGTTTGATTGCATTTAGGGTGAATTCGATTTCTTTTTTTTTTTTTCCACTTAACAATTTGTATGCTGTGAACTCACGTGAGTTCTGCTATTGGAAGTATGGGACCGAACTCTACAATATAACGAAAAGCAATTCAAGGAAAGAGATTATCGAGCTTAATTTTTAAAATTCATATTGTATTACTCTATGATGAATGATCCATAAAAGTCATTACTGTTTTTTGAATTGTGTCATCTCTCAAATTTTCTAGTAAACCTATTTCCTTGGTCCAATTAAAATATGGTGGTTTAACCGTGAATTTGAGATAGTAATTTCAAAACTTTTGTTTCGATTTGACTTTTTCAATTCTAAAAAAAGACTCATAGCCAATTTGGTAGCTATTCTCTATCATCGTTTCCAACTGCTGCATCATTCAAATGCCTCAAGTGAGATGACTAAAACAAATAAGGATAAAAGAGAATCAAAAGTTCATATTTTACGGATTATAACCTATTTTATTCATTTCAAATAATAATAATAATAATAATAATAATAATAATGAAGTATCATACATTCCGGAAAATATGGAGCATCAATGTAATTTTCTTTGAATATATTTTGACAGGATCCAACTGTCTACCTTATGTGCTAATGCAATGCTTGGTAAGGTCATTTAAAGCACATATTTTAGGGATTATTATCTATTTGATTCATTTCAGCAACTGAAGTACAAAATTTTCTGGAAAAAAAGTGGTGTACAAGTATAATTTTCAAATTTTTTTTGAGGGCATCCAAATGTCTACCGACACAAAAGTATGCTTGGTAATGATTTTCTTTTCTTTTCTTTTTTATTCTTTCGTGGGGTTTTGGGGCAAAACAAGACAAAATTGAAAAACAAGCTAAAATTTAAAAATGCTACCCCTATTCTTCAAAACCGATATAAGCCTTAGTTTGTGTTACAAGTAAATATTCAATGTAACGGTGATATCATGTCATTATTTTTTGAGATTTGGTTACGAGTAAATATTCAATGTAATGGTGATACCATATCATCATTGATAACATGATATCACTAATCAATAATAAAACTCCAAGTGAATAAGGTGAACCCTATTTTGGTTTACATGGAAGAAGAGTAGCGAATTAATTACTTACATAGCAGGTTGGTTATTAATTTTTTTTTGTGGTGGTCTATTTACTTATTTAGTGTTTTATTATTAATTGGTGATACTACATCACATTGCCACGTGTTATCACCGTTATAATAAATATTTTCGTGTTGGGTTACAAACTTGCAACTTTTGTAAGGAATCAGTTTTTAGCAGTGTTTGTTGGATATTATTTGTAAAACATAGGGCTTGTTGTAAATATATTTTATATAGATATGGATGAACTCTAGTCTATCAATTTAATAGGTGTTAGTATTTGAATCAATAACTATGTTCAAAGTTAATATTGTATTTGATGACTATTATGATTTGAGGCCTATAAAATGAGGTTTTAGTCACATTGAGAAATACACAAGTTGAGAAGTTCATTGTCTAGTGTATATAATTCTCTTGCTTTCACAATACATTATTAGCAAAAGACTCTACATCTCTTGTTCTTTGTCTTATAAAAGGAAGATCTAGTTTTAAGTCGTATAGAATTGAAATTTGAGTTTTTGCGGTAGGTGGAATGGATCTTATTTATCTACTGTTCAATTCTGAAATAAATGGTGAAGATACATGTCTAGTAGACAGTGGCACGACCTATACAATCCTTAGACATAAAAGATTTTTCTCCAACTTAACATTAGTTGAAGCTAATGTAAATACTGTAAGACCCTGTACTAAAATTAAATAAGAATACTAATATCTTAAGAATTTTCCAAATATAAATAAAATGAGGATAAAAACTTAGAATCATTGTTGAAATATTAATCATGAAGTTTGAGTTTCGAACGGATTGACTTTTGGGTCAAACTTAATTTTTTTTTTTGGATGTGTTTAAGATTGATAAGGGTAACTAAATAAATATATTAATTTTTTTTATCAAAATAACATTACCATTGAATTCGGGAGGTCGGAAAACATTGGGAGAGGTAATATGGGATGTATTAGAAGTTAGGAAGTATTTTAGAAGTAAAACCAAATTGGAGTGAAATTGAAAAAAAAAGGGTGATGGACACTGCTTAGTATTTTGATCATAAATTTATATTTTGATGTCCAATTGATCTGAAATTTTTACAGGAAATAGTAAACATCTAGGACTACAAAAGTGTATTTCATGAAGAATTTCCAATTCGACCTCTAAATGGGTCAACACTGACCTGGAAGTGGCACCAAAAATCTGTGAACAGTACGAAGGAAACCCGATTTTTTCTGAACAGAAAATATCGGGTTTTGCTCGATTTTCTTGCCCTATAAAAACATAATGTCGTCCCTTTAGCATTCATTTCACCTCTCCAAACCCTAGGAACCATTTTAGAGGAAGAGAGGAAGATAGAAATACCAATCAAGAGGGATTTATACCTTGTAGAAATCAAAACTTCAAATTCTTCAAGAATACATTCTCCTCCCATTTTCTTCCATTCTTGCTACCCTCTCACCCAAATCTTTTGAAACCCTAGGAGGAGAAGATTAAGAGGAAAAGAAAGGAGAGCAAGAAGGTCTTGAAGCTTGGGTCTTAACTTGGAATCTTGATTTAAGGTAGGGGATTTTCTCTCAATCTCTCACATTGAGGCTAGATATATATCTATAGATATATATATATATATGTATATAGATATATGTTTCTTCACTCTCCTTCTCATATATATAATATGAAATACATGATTCTTGTTCTATTTGTAATAAATGCCATGTTTTCAACAATATGAAGGGTGGGTAACCCCAAAGCTCTATTGATTTTTTTTTTTTTATCTTCAAAGCCCTAGTTTTCAAGCAAAGGGGATTTTCTCCTAATTTCTTCTTTGTCTTTGATTTTAAAACTTTAGTGTTGAATATTGTATAACAAAATGATATAGATTACGATCTCTTGCATATTTTCTTGGATTATTCGATTATATGACAAATGTGAAAACAAAATTGGGGATTTTACTATATTTGGGAAATTGTTGTGAATTGTGAATATTCTTGATTTCCTCATTGTATGGTTGTTGTGATGGACTTGGATTACCTTCGAGAGATGCCGTAGAGTGTTAGAGGTTAGTCTATCCCAATGGGGGGTGAGATGGTTGCCTAATGCTCGTAGTGGATCGTTGTTGTGCTCGCGATCACTATTGTTCACATATACACCGAGGAAAAGGGTTAGTATACTAGACACCTTGGGAGGATTTCGTCAATGCCGTAGGAGACGGTACATGCCCTTCCTAAAGAGATTTGTGATTGTGGGTTGGAATTGGTGGACTAGGCATGATCGTTAGGTAGATTCACGAGAAGCAATCAACATACATGGTACGGGGATGAACCAAAAATACATGGAATCGGGAGTTGGGTCGTTCTTGCCGACGCATTGGTATGAGACAATGCTTAGGGAGAAGCCCTTCTTAAATAGCTTAAATTAGAATTTTGTTTATCGATGCTAAACTCACTTTATTCTTTTAACTGATTATTGCTATTGTTTAAACTTGAGATCTCTTTTAAAATGTCACTGTTTTCATTCCAAACCTATATATATGTTAGTTGTGAAATGAGACCGACCGTTTGCTATGTTTTTCAAACCTTGTTTGAGTTGAGAGGATTTTGCTACAGAGCTTCGTGCTCACTCCCTACAAATAAAATTTTTTCAGATTTCACACTTGAGGAGGAGTTAGGAGCCGAGGAGCCCACCCATTGGAAGACTCCGCTTGACGGGGATGTGGATCCCGAGGTGGACGCTTAGAGCGACACTTTTATTTTGTTCTAGACTAGATTATGCTTAGAATATCCTTTTGAACTCTAGTTCATTTCTGTTATTTCCGCTGCGTTATATTATTACATTTTGGAGATGTAAAGGCCAAGATTAGACCTATTAATTTGGGATGATAGTGTGGATATGACATATGATGAATGCAAGTTTATTTTATGATGGAAAAATGGACCCGGTGTGGTCAATAGTTATGCATATGTGGACCCGGTGTGGTCAATTGTAATATAATTGTACAGGTTGTGTTTTGGGTAGAGCTCCCCGTACAAAGGAGACTCTGCCCAAATTTTGTTAAAATATGAATGGTTGATGAATGAAACTTTCGTCGTGATGAATTTTACTTAATGCTCTCATACGGTAAAGTTTTTAGAATGTAATGTCACCCACGGGGGTTTTTGGGGCGTTACGGATTTGGTATCAGAGCAAAGGCTTTAGGTCTTACATGGGAGATGTAGGTTATGGAGTACCACTAGGGAAGTAGGATTAAGTTGAAGGAAATTGTTGGTCTAATTTTATATGAACCTTATGCTTTAGATTAAAGTGATATTTAGGATGTCTTGTACATCAATGAAACTAAATTGTGAATTGATATGCAGGATGGACGGTGAACGGGTACGTGGACGTGGTCGTGGGCGTGGTCGTCAAGCAAATCCACCACCTCCACCACCTCTCGACGCCATACAGGGTATTTACCAATGTTTAAGGGAACTCACCACCCTAGTGCAACAACCAAGTGGGAACAACCAC